AGACCGTGCGCTCATGCACACTCGCAGCACACACACATAATGCCAGGTTCACATTACTCCGTTTGCAGTGCGGTGTGTATTTTTTTCTGCGCTTATGTTAACGGATTAAAGCGTTCACACTGCACACGGTTGCGGTGCGGCAGTGGGTTCCAGGAGCGGGGAGTCTGCAGTGCAGAGATCGTTTCCGCACCGAGTCTGTTTTTGCTGCGCTGCAAGTGCTGAATTAAAGTAACAGCGCATTGTTTGTGGTAAATATGAATGTGATAACGTAAGAAAAGTATTTTAAATGTTCTGCCACATGCTTGAGCAACTTTTTGTGCTGTGTGTAAGCTATTGTGCAACAATTGCACGAGTGTAAAAACAAAAATGTGCTGCATGATTGAACATTTAGGTGAGATAAATATATATTTTTGAAAAATGTCTAAGAAATGCTCCCCTCCACCCCTCAAATAAAAAAAATCCCCTCTCACAAGAGTCACCTATAAGAGGAGAATTCCCCCCATTTTCAAAAATGAAATTCAGGCCCTGAATAAATTTCCAATAAAATTCCTGATTGGAGTATTACTATAAATAATTCTACATGATAAAAAAAAAGCCTTTAAAAAGATCGGTATCGGTGATCGTATCGGCAGATACTGTTTTCTGTGATCGGCCTCAAAAATCCTGATCGGAGCACCCCTACTCAGAATTCATCAAAAATATCTTAATTTGTGTTCTGAAGATAAACGGAGGTTTAGAACGACATGAGGGTGAGTAATTAAAGACAGAATTTTAATTTTTGGGTGAACTAACCCTTTAAAAAGCAAAACTTGTTTAATATAATTTGATTCAATTGCAATATATCTAAAATTGGGTACAACAGTAATATTATTTATGGAGGCAATGCTTTGGGTCTTTTGAGAGTTTTATTTTGTTTTCTAATGTCAACATATGTAGGACCTCTCCCATTAAATTACTGCAAAGTATAACAGTTCCCAAAAGATTTTCCTATTTTTTTTTTTTTTTTTTACATTTTCTTTTTTTTTGGTTTGATACAGCAGGGTTGTTATAATTTAGTGTACAAGTGGTGAACAGATCATAGATTCAAATATTTACAAATCAAGAGTAAGTTTCCTATTGCTTTTCCACTGGCCTATTATTATATACTTTGAACCGCTTTAGATTTTAGTTTAAAATAATGATAATAACCATAAGCCTCATATTTTTTCTTAAAGGCAAAAATCTTCTCATGAACTGCTCATGTAATGGATCGGAGATCAACTCAGTCTAAAAACCAAGAATGCAACAAAACTGCATTTACATACACCACCATTCAAAAGTTTAAAGTCAGTAAGTAAATTCTTTTTTATTTTTTGAAATTAATACTTTTATTCAGCACGGACACATTACAAGTGACAGTGAAGACTTGTACATTGTTACAAAAGATTTCTATTTTAAATAAATTTGCCATTTGTTTACTTGCTATTCGTCAAAAGAATCCAGAATTTTTTTTATCTCGTTTGACAACTGTTGTAAACACCCATAAGAAATGTTTCTTGAGCAGCAAATCAGCTTAAAGAATGATTTTTGAAGTATCATGTGGCACTGAAGACTTGAGAAATGGCTGCTAAAAATTCAGCTTTACATTAATGTAGAAAAGTTATTTAAATTATAACATTATTTCACAATATTGCTGATTTTACTGTATTTTTGTTCAAATAAATGAAGCACTGGTGGGATAATAGACTTTTTCTTAAAAAAAAAAATTCTTACTGACCCCAAACGTTTGAACAGTAGTGTATTTCACTTTCTTTTCCAAAATTTAAGCAGGCGTGCACAACACATGCACACTTTGAAAAAGCATCTGAAATAAACAGCAAACTAAGGTAATAGCCCAAAACCTGTGGGCCATTCATGAGGTTGATTCGCACCATTATTTACATGACCTAGACATAGGTAAATAAGCATAATCAGTGTAATATCATACATTTAAAGCCGTTTAATACTGCCCTGCAACACTGTAATATTTCAATTACAAAGACATGCCACTAGGTCCATTTCATCTACAACATTACGGAAGCTTCCTATACCCTCTAGATTCTGCTAATTTGCTGCTTGCAGCTCTACTCCTCTCCTCCTCCCTAGGGCAGTAAAAGAGGGTTTTGGAGTAATTCATACAGAGTAACACAGCTGTATATCTATGCAGTCTTTCACAAATATAGTGTCATGAGAGTGCAACGTGATTGCGGTTTGAGTGCGTGTTGAGGAGTGTAGGATAGCAGCAGCAACACGTGCACACACGCATGTGACCTGGATGCCAAGAGACCCCTGCATTTTGCTATGCACGGGTACAGCCTACACCAGGGCGAAAGATGCTTTCGGTATTTAACAGCCCAAACCCAGAACCGACACCCAAGTGATAATACACTGAGGGAGACTGAGGTCGGCGGTGGAGGAAAAGGCGACATCAGTTGGGTAAATCAATTAATGCTGTAAATGGCTCTCTAGGTCAAAGCTATTCCAATATACAGCATATCCCATGAGTCAAATCATTCAGTGCTGGAAGAAAAAGATGGGGCTGCTATAGCTGTTCTGCAATCACACACAGCACGTGGAGGGTGAACAGTAAGAGAAGTGAGAAAAAAAAAAACCTTCTTTCACACATACTGGAGGATGATTCTGTCATTCTCTCCCTACAAAAGGCAACACGGTATAAATTATTAGATTTACATAAAACTACATAAAAGCTATTTAAAGCAATCTAGCCTTAATGACCATATTTAAGTTTTAACGCAGCACTTTGAGCATGAACATTACTGATAGGGAAAGTGCTGCATAAATAACATTATAGCTGTGATTATTATTATCCATGTGCAGTGTGCACCGCATGAGTTTACTGGCATGTGTGTAAAGTTCTGGCATGGCAGTAAAGTTCAGGGCTGTAAATTAAAGTGCTGCATTTGCTTTCTAAATGTCTCCCATTAAAAGCCCACGGAGCATGACATATGGTCACGGCAAATGTAAGACAGACCGTCTCCGAATAAACCCATTTCTCCGAGTGAATCTGTCTGTTTACTCTGCCTTTAAATGTATGAATGCATAGAGGGATATTTAGATATTAAAAGCATGTAAGGTTTTGTGCATTCATCATAGTGTGTGCGTGTGTGTTTCTTCACACCTCCCCCAGTGTCAGCTGCTGATCATGGCTGGACTGCAAGAGAAGATGCATGTATGACGGTGTGATTTTGTGTGCATGTGTAGGGGTGAGACAGGAAGTGTCACTGTGTTTCAGCACAAAATCTCCACTTGAAAGAACTGCTGTGGACATTAAAATGTCTGAAAACGTACTGAAACTCACTGTGCTGCCTTCTCTAATATTAGCTTTATTCCCTGTACTAACGTCACTAAATATTACAGTATTTGAGTCTCTTCTCCAACCCTTCATGAGATAGAGAGCAATTTAAAGGGGTCCTATTATGCTCTTTTACAAAGTCTTGATTTTGTTTTGGGGGTGTACTAGAACGGGCTCTTATACTAGG